CCTCCCCACCACCACCACCACCACCACCACCACATAATTAAATGGTAAACTGTAATAATTTTTTATTTTTTAGTTAGTTGATGGATTGATATACTTGAACCAGAAGTAAGACACATGCAAAATATAATAGTGACCAATGAAATTACATATCTCCTATGTGATGAGTTTTTATTGTATCAATTGGTTATTATTTTTAGTAGTATTTTGTCCCCCCACCTCCCCCGAAACTTGGCTCCGCCCATGGGGATGATTATTAAATCATGTAAGATTTACTTGTTACTTTCTTATCAGATGATGACACTATATAACAATGATGACATAATATCATTATTAAATTTAATATTTTATTGTATTATAAGGTTCATCTAAACAATTGAGAATATATATATATATTTGGCATGTGAGTTTTTATTGGTAGGTAGGACACTAAATTATTAGTGAAACTAAGAATATTTAGTACTTTATTTTTATGGTAATATAATTTGAAGTAATATGGGGAAGATGCCGGAAAGCAACATGGTAAAGATTTATGTCAAGCAAAGATTTGGCATGCTCGAGAAAGATGCAAAGATGTCATAGATATCCCTAAAACTAGCTAAACTGATAATAAATACAAATTATAAATTCAGACGTTCTGAATTTAAATTTTAATAATTTTTTAAAGTCAAATTATGAGAGATTTATATTTTATGAATATTCTAATTCAGACGTGAATGCCTAATTTTTTGACTAAACTAGAAAGAAAATTAATCGAAATGTATGTAAGCTAGGTAAAAAACCCCAATGGTTAAAAAAAGTTTTTTAAATGTCACAGATAGCATTTTCGACAAATATGTGCTCCCTTGTTGCAAATAGGGAGACCATGACGAGGTGCATGTGTCAATTAATGTGAATTTTTGTCCATATGATTAGAAATTCAATATAAAATTTGGAAAGAAAGTCATTGGGATGTGATCGAGTCTAAATCTTATTATTTCAATTTTTAATATTAATTTAATTTATTTATAATTATGTATGACCATATTTATATGGTATATTAATTGTGTATTACAAGTTTGTGAATAACTATATGAGTAATTTTACATGCACTTAAAAATTAGACTTGATAATTTCAATCATTGATTTCACCGTGGTTTCTAGTATTTATTAGGATCCACTACCTATTCAATGATTGAAATTATCGAATCTAATTATTAAGTCCATCTGATATTACTCTAATTATATTTGTGTCAACTCATTAACTTTGATAAATTAATTAAAATATAACTTACGCAACTATATTTGTAATTAATTACGTTAGATTAGAAAATAAAAACCCAATGCACAGATGTACACGTGTGAGTGCAGAGTTTTGGGGTACATATCTAGATTAATCCTTGGGTGACCTAATGATACAGGTAAGTCCGGAGATTACATGGAAATAGATACTATCACTGCAATTGTAGCTATTATCAGACTTCAGCACTGGATTGACTGCTGAATTTTCTCTCGACTTCATAAGAACCAACAGTCTTCGGGTTTATGTTCTTCACTCATCTCTTCTCTCTCTGCTGGTAATTATCCTTCCGAAAATTCTCACCTTTTTTCTCCCAAAATTCTCATTTTTGATTCGTTTATTCACTATGTCACTTTCTTCCAATATGCATGTTTGTATAATTTAAGTATGTTTTGACACGTGTGGATGTAATTATAGTGTGTTTTGATGAATTGGGTTTTTAGTTGTTTTCTGTTTTTGGGTCGATTGGATTGGGATCTTTGTATTTCAGTTAATTACTGTTTCTATTGTATGTTTCAGGAAAGATTAGCTATTAATGTTGTTTTATCGAGTCTTGGAGAATCTCAATGTGATTGTATTGCAATTCGGTCTAATAAGATGTTTGAATGTGGGTTTATTTTTCTTCTTATCATTATGGAGTTTTGAAGAATTCTGGGTTTCTGAGCTATGATTTATTTTGTTGAAGAATTAAGAGTCTGCATATAAAACAAGATAGACTTAGGATTTTTGATGTATCTTATATGGTTTGTATAAATGTGGGCATGCATGAGTGGGCATCGAGTTTAAGTTGGATTGCTACATGTTTTGATTCTTAGCCATAAAAATATATTTTTGCTCAAGTTGCTGCATCCATGATAGGATTTTAACACACTGCCTTTACCTCTTGGCCAAGGCACCAGTGGCGTTTGCTTGCTGCATTAAGTTGATAGTCTTTTCCATTTGGTGGTTTTGAATTTGTTGAGAAATTATGGTTTGGGTGGTGCATTCATCTGTATAGTTGCTCGACTTCTCGTTGTTGATATGATTGTAAGTGGTCAGTTTCTATTCTACTTACTGTGTATGTGATGCCAACAAGTGTTCAGTTTCATAGGATTGATAGTGTTTGCACGAGGCACATAAGTTAATCTTACGTTGGGGTTTTAAGGGTGAAGTGAATGTCTGCTGGGTGTCTAAGGAGTTTGAGGGTGGCACTATCACGAGCAGTGGGATGTAGTTTGACTTTGTGTTAGGCTTGGGCGACTTGTCCACCTTTGATTTCTTTTTTTAACTTTTTATAGCTTTATTAATGATGTTATTGTTTCCTGTCGAAAAAAATGTCTGCTGAGATCCTTGCACAATTGTGGGATAATGCTTAAGCAACATATACCTACTCACGTGAGCCTCACAGCAACACAAGCATTACGGCATTATACTAGTAGCCTTTTAAAGCAATGGTTCTGATTAATGAATGAATCTGACAAGTATCTACCCTTTTAAATTAGATCCGAAGTGTCTTTGCTTATTTGAAATTTTGCTTTTCTGTTATTGGTTAAGGCATCAAGGAATTAGGTTTCTGAAGGAATTAGAGTCATGCAGTCAAAGTCTAAAAATGCCAATCGATTACAAGCTGATTCATACAATATTCCATCATCAACGCTATGTTCTGATCCTTGGTGGCATGGTACTGGGTATAATTCCATCTCCCCTGCTGTGGTGCGAGGAAATGCATCCGATTCATCTTCAATGGAACATTCTATGAATGGTCAATCACGGTCAGATGGTGGGCTGAACGAGGATGATGATGATGCTAACAAAGAGTCACAGAGTACTGCCCTGCCACGTTCAGGTATTTCTTCGAATTGGCATGCCAATTATTTTTTTGTTCATGATTCATTTCACAAATAAATAGCAGAAAATAATGATTTGAGCAATGCAATCCTGGTTGATAGTGTTGAACTATCTATATGCTTCCTAAGAGGATCATACTATTATCATCTGTATTTCATATGCTGGAGATTAACTATTGAATTTTGCTTGAACTAGCGGGGAATGTACTGTATATGATTATGGAAGTTTAGTCTTCTGTCAAGGTTGGACTTACCTTCCCACAAATCAATCCCTTTTGGAATCTGGTAATGCTCCACTATAGCTGGAAGTTGTACTCATGAAAAGATACAGCGATAATGGATTTATCTCTGTCAAAGTTTTGTTGTTCATTTAAATGGTTGTGGACAAGTAAAAATATTGTGCTCTTTTGAAACTATATTACTGGTTAAAGAGATGTCATAGTGGCAGGTCACTATGACGATAGTTTATTTGTTCTGCAGTTTATTTTGTTGTAGGTTTTGTTTTTTATGATTAACCAAATCATTGGGGTTGCGGCTGAGCCATTCATGAACAGCTTGGGTCAGCAAGTGAAGAGTTTATTCGAGGTCATTTCTAAATTAATTAACCATATTAATCCCATGCTAATTAGTTTAATGGGTTGAACTTGAGGTTTGAGCTAACTCATAATTGGCAACGAGGATCTTGACCATTTTGTATGAGGGAAGCTATTTTAAGAAACAAAAATATGTTTAATCTCCAAGGCTAGTGATGTGGTCTCATTTCCCTGGTTATATTGTTGGGAAGTCAGATGTGTTTACATTATCTTTCCTCTGGCTTTGGTTTCTCTGTGTGACATAATGATGATGTTATTATTGCTGTGTCCGTCACAATAACATTTGTGGATGGCCAAAAATGAAGTCGTTGGCTCTTGTAGCAGAAGAATTCTTCCCTGAAACGTTGTTGGCTCTTGTAGCCAAAGAAGTCTTCTTTGTTTCAGGGAAAATGTTGGTAGTTTGGTAATGTACTTTTTAATGTTGTCTGACCAACAAGCAAAAGTTGCTTCATGTTGCCTTATTTGTTGGGCTTCCATGATTTATAAATTCATTATCTAGGAGAGAGCCTAATTTATCATTGTTTCACCTTATTGAGATATTGTAGAGAGTATGGTTCATACTGTTGTAGACTTGTAGCTAGTAACTGTATAATTGTTGCTGCTTTGACTAGCTTCCCCATCTTTATTAGTCTTTTGGTTACTTATGATGGATGAATGTAGTAAATGTCTAAGGTTAGGATAAACTTTGTGTGGAATTACGAATCTAAAAGATTTTCTGTAATCATATCTTTTAATGGAAATAAATGCATGATTTGCTGTTATCACTTGGAATTAGATTTGAAGAGAAATAGTGCTTCTACGCATAAATTCTATTCCATAACTTCCTTCTCAGAATCCAACCCACTGATTGACAATTCTGAATAAAATCCTCACCCAAGTCACTTCATTTGAATTAGTGTTTGATCTTGATAGTTTCTGCATAATAATTAATGCCTACTTTTATACCCTAAAATTTTGGATTTTATGTTGGTTTCCTTGCCAAGGTCTCACATGCCTGCCAAAGTTTTGGAGTCAATTTATTTTTCTTATACATGTCGGAGGTTCTTATTCCTACGGATCTATTCTTTGAAAATTATCCTTTAGTTTGGTTTCTTCTAGGACTTAAAGCAAATGTTAAGCTCAGGGGTGAAAGCTAGGCACTGAGTTGAAACATTTTCTTTTGTTGCCAGGAAACAACTTCGTCAGTATTCTCGTTTATTAATCCCTGTAACTCTATGGAGTGTTTTCTGCAATGGGTCCTTTCTCCCTCTCTCTCATTGTGTGTTTCTCTTCTTCATTTTTTTTTTTTTTGTTTTGTGGAGAATAAATCATAAAATTGCATTAGTGGATGTGCTTACAAATTATAGAATTGCTTTGGAGGATGCACTATTCTCTTTGTTTTAATGTGATTGCTAATGAATATCTTGTTCCAAGGTTAGATGGAAGTTATGGACAAGAACACCAGAATTTTCAGCATGTTACATCAAATCTACCTCCAAGGAGTGATGAAAGCCTCACACAACCTCCACAACTTGAACTTGTTGGGCACTCAATTGTAATTCTGTTTCCGACTATTTCTTTATGAAATCTAGTTTGAAAGATATATTTAGTTATTTACCACTGCTTTACCCATGGACTTCTGAATTCTGGATCTATGAAACTAGAGAACTCATATTTATTTCTTTCATTTATGTCATGTTTGCAGGCTTGTGCTTCAAATCCATATTCCAATCAATTCTATGGAGGAATGATGGCACCCTATGGTCAGCCTATGGTATGTAGCATTGATTGGAAATCAATGGCTTAAATACAACAGTTGCCCCGATGTTTTCTTCCCTTTCATCTACTTGCATACCCCTAGCATATGTGTCTTGTTGCCTTGTGACTGTAGCTATTTGCATGCAACTTATGGAGAGAGATACCGGGAATGGAATGATGCTGGGGCTCCCCTTTCCATAATATAGCAGCCAAAAGTGATTCTGAACACTTGGCATTTATTAGTACTAATGTTGCAACATGAGTTATTTAATTTCAGGTATGCAGTGGCTGGTTAATAAAATTACTTAATTGCAGTCTGAACATTGGATCATAAATTTCAAAGTTATTTTGAATTTGGAAGAATGATGGTTTTTGAATATTGTATTCTTTGGTAAGGATCATAGGTTTTGAAGTTTGCTTCATTTGATGAGAAAAATAGCTTTTGATTTTTGGTTCCTTTGGTAGGTGTCCGGAAGTACAATGGGAAATCAGTCCTGGTTAAAAACAGCCTACCTCTAGGCAAAAATCCAATTTAATTCTAGATAGGAATTTTGTAGATTGACTTTAAGTTAGAGCATTTTAGAAAAGGCTTGACAAGAGTAAAACTTTGCTTTTGATTGTAATTTTCTGGCAATCTGAATAGAGAATTAGTATGCCCTAGGTGGAAGGAGATTTGCATATCTTTAGGGGTTATTTCACCCCTATTTACTTTATTTTGCTTGGAATTGGTATTTGTTATTCATTTTACGATCCTAGCTAGGGTAAGAACTAAGAAGTGGCTCCTTTGTGTAGCTTCCTTGTTCAGGAAGGGAAGAATGTCTTGTAAATAGAATGATATTATTTATAGATGCAAGTTCATTAAAAGGCTTGTAGAGGGCATAAATCATGTAATGCAAAGGGGAAACCACAAGAAAATTAACTGGAAAAGAGCAAAACTTGAAAGAAGACAGAAGATGGACTCGATAAAGGATTTCAAGATATTCGGAAAACCCCAAAAAATTTGACGTGTAAAAAACTTAAACTCCACAGTTTACCTACGCCTTCCAAGTGCACCAATATAGTTTAAGTCCAGATGTCCTCCATTAAGGTTTCTTACACTTGGTTACAGAGCCTGCCTTATGGCCATCGAATGCATACAACAATGCTTGGGCTACCACCCGGACTAATCAGAGAGAATTTGATGTTCTTTGTGACATCTGGGTTTGGCAATATGATCTCACCTGATGAAGGCAGAGTGGGGTAACAAATTTAAAGACTCCTTTTATCATTAAGTTACCTGATGCAAACATGGGTAGAAAATAATGAGCAAATTTATATCCAGTGAATATGGGGCATCATCAATGTACCTGGAAGTGAATGATCCAAAGTGGCTTGTGAACCAATTGATCTGGGTTTCCTTTGGTTCAACATGATGATGGACTGTGGACCAATCAAAGATGAGCCTCGATCCTTATCTTCTTTTGGGAGGGGATCAAGCCATGACCACTGTAGGCTAATTTGATTAGGCTTGCTCATGAACATGAAGGTTTTTATACAGACTGGTAATGCGTGTTTGGTGATCTACAAGTTACATGAATCGAAGAGGGTCTCTGTTCCTCTCACTTGTCCGTCTGCTGCACACCCCCTGCCCCAAATCAAAATCAAATAAAAAAAAAAGAAAGAAAAAAGTATGTTGCATTCTTCACTTGTTTGCTATCATTAGGTATTCTTCCCTGCCATGATGTTAAAATATGAAAGACTCGAGCCTTACCCCAACTATGCAGAGAGAGTCTATATGCCAAAGAGTTGGTTGATAAGAAGTTTGGACCTAACAAAGAACTGCTGCTTGACAAGTGCCTTATTTGCAAAAAGGGAAGCAGGACCATTTACCACCTCTTTAGTTGTTGGCTAAATTGTCTGCATCAACACCAGCAACCTGAAGCTTTGATGGTTTAAGATGCTTTGGAGATGGGTATTGGGTATTGGGAGAACTTTAAGCTAGTTAATAAATAGGGGGAGTCCCGGAGTTTCATTTCAATTCCAGGATCCAAGTGTTCAGCTTTCTGGTGGACCTGTTAGCCACTGGATGGAGGTCTATGTTACCCAGAACCTTTGCTTTGCCCTGGAGTATGTGCATGGCATGGCATGTCGGGATGGGCAGTCACCACTTACAAATAATGGAGAGTTGTTGGGTTGTATACTTCTGACACCTGGATAAGGCATTGGCAGGTGGCATCAGGCTTGGTGTGAAGCCAACTTCAACTCTCTCCTAATCTTTACCCTGAAAAGTTGGTGAATTAGGGATTGGTCGCGTGTTTAAGGTTGACTGAAGTACAAATATCATGGTGGGACCTGTTGTTTTACTTAGATGTATTCTCACTCACTTTTATTTTTGTGGACAGTTTTCTGGACTCTGGAGTACCACTTTGGTTTATTTTTCTATCACTTTTCTTTCTATTTTGAAGGGCCGGTTTCTTCCTGCTACTTACATTTTCATCTATTTTTTGATCAGATGAAGTGGGTTTTCTTGATATTTTAATTTTGCAAAAATGCCCAACCTTAGCAGTAATGTCTTTTTTCATCCATTGTGGGAATACCTTTTCTTGACAATGGAATCAAAATTCGAGGGGTTCTTCTAACAACTAATTGTTTTTGCCAGGTCCATCCTACTTTATTTGACATGCATCATGCTAGAATGCCTTTGCCTATTGAGGTGGCGCGAGATCCTGTTTTTGTGAATGCCAAGCAATATCATGGGATTATGAGGCGAAGACAGTCACGCGCTAAAGCAGAACTTGAGAAGAAGTTGGTAAAAGCTCGAAAGGTTGGTATACAAATATGCTTTCTTCTAATTGTTAAAACTATATGTGGCATCTTCCATTTCTCGATTAATTTTTATGTTTTTTGGTGATACAAACCAAACCAAACCAAGCCTTATGTCCCAATATGAGTCTGCATTCGCCATTTATTTTGATCATGCGCTTTACGCTTATTTATGTCATGTGCTATACACTTATTTAAATCATGCACTATACTGATAGTATATTAATCTCACTTCCAGAGTGTGATAACTTAGTGATGATTTATTGTTTCCTCAGTTGTAAGCATATGATGCATCAAACCATCGGGGTAATCCTTAGAATGTGTGCGCAGAATCTGTCAGTGTCATATCTCACAATATTAAGATTAGATAGCCAGATATATTTTAAATTTAACATTAGAGAACTAGACATATATTGTATACTACTATAGTTGTATAATCTATATAATACAACACAAAACTCATGAACATATACTTCCATAGAGCACAACAACGACCTAAATCATTTCGAATTTTCGATACCATGGTCTATCTTACAACTTAAATTTTGACCACTGTAAATCTATGTTAACCATAATAATCCCAGTAACACAATTATTTGTAGCGTGTCCTAGCCATGTCCATATCTGTGTCCTTTTTAAGAAATTGTCATGTACGTATTGTGCCCCACCGGAGTTTCGTGTCTGTAGACTCTGTACCTCATAGATGGATATATTGCCTTAGTGTATTATGTTGTAGGAGCATCTTATTTTCTTTGAAGTTAAACCATATCCCTCCCTGCCTTTGTCTTATTATAATTTTAGTGAAGGTAGATCCGAGTTCATACCCAAAGAATTTTAATCACTATGAAATTGTACTGCATGTACTGTTTATTCAAGACTCCATTCTAAGTTTTGCACTCTGTGGTAGGATGCGACTTTCATGGAGTACTTTGTGAGGGTTGTGCCTGCCTAATGCCATGAAGCCAAAAGAGCAACGTGACCCCCATTAAGCACAACAATGGCCTACATCATTTTGATCCAATGATTTATCTTACCACTTATATTTTAACCATAATAAATGTATTTTAACCATAACCCTAGTAATACTTCATCATTTGTAGTGTGTCCTAGCCATGTTCATATCCGTGTCCTTTTAAAAAGTTGTCATGTCCATGTCGTGTGCCTTCCATGTCCGTGGATGGATATATTTCCTTATTGTATTATGCTATGAATTACGGATATGTCGTTAAGATTGACGTATCTGTATCGGATACTGTATTGGATACGATACTTATCAGATACTTAATGATATGTATCAGATACATACAAAATGTATCCAATAATAAATAAAATCTGTATCGCGGATATTTTTATATGCGGAGAAGTATGTATAATTTTTAGTTTTAATTTTTACTCCCTCCTTTCGATTTCACATCACTTACAATTCAATACATCAACAAAGATTCGTGACTTTGAAGATACATGGATTTTTTTAAGTATTATTCACTATCACATATCCAAAGACTATCAAGGAGTTGATTACACTATAATTTGAGCAACAAATACTTCTAAATAAATCTAGTTAAAGGTTGGTTTTTATTCCTTTAATTAATTACGTTCACTTTATTGTCAATATTGTTTATTATTGTGAAAAAATCACTTAAAATTATAGATGTCAAGTCGTTACATAATAGTACAAATATAAACTATATATTTTTATAAACATATCTTAGTTGTATCCGTATCCTATTTTATTGTATTGTACCCAAATCTCATATGTGTATCCATGTTTCCTAGGTATTATGTCATGGAAACAACTTATGTTCTTTGAACTGAAACCATATCCCTCCCCTCCTTTCTCGTGCTATCATTTCACTGAAGGTAGATCCAAGTTCACCCTCAAGGATTTGAGTCATTGCGAAGTGGTACTACATCTACTGTTTATTCAAGGCTCCATTTGTCTACGAATTACTTTATGAAGGGCTGTGCCAGGCTAATGCCATGAAACTAAAAGAGTACTATGTCCTCCATAAAGCACAACCTCGGCCTAGATCATTTCAATCTAACGGCTTATTTTACAACCATGTCCTAGCCATGTCCATATACGTGTCCTTTTTAAGAAGTTGCCATGTCCGTGTCATGCCTCAACGGTATCCCTTGCCCATGCTTGATCGATGGATATTTTGCCTTATTGTATTATATCATTGGAACATCTTATTGTCTCTGAAGTGAAACCATATCCCTCCCCTCCTTTATCATGCTATTATTTCACTGAAGGTAGATCCAAGTTCACCCTCAAGGATTGGAGTCACTGTTTTACTGTTTATTCAAGACTCTATTCTAAGCTTTGCACGGTGTGGGAGGACGTAAATTTCATGGAGGAAAATTAGGGAATGTAGCTAACTAATCTAACATCTACGAAGTCCTTTATTAGGGGTTGTGCCGGGTTAAAGCCATGAAGCCAAAAGAGCACTGTATAGAATGTGGATATTAATACTAGGAATCAAAAGGCTAGCCAGATAGCAAAAAAACATACATACAATTGCTTGGAACGAGGATGCATTCATGAAAGAGATTAATCCTTGTGTATGCATTCAGATGGGGGATCAGTTTTAAGTAGGAGTGGTGGTGTTCGGTAGTTTTTAGTGCTTTAAGTAGGGGAATTGGACTTGTTTAATGAAGTTAGTATGCTAATCATGGATAACATCTATTAATAAAAGAAGAATAGGAAGATGAGGAAACCTAATAAGCCACTAGTTGTAGTTTCATCTTATTGGTTGATTGCCAGTGCCAAGCTTTTATAAGACTTACGTTGACTGGTATGTGAATTACTGTCTATTCAATGTCCCACCTAAATAACCTTACTAGTTTAACAGCACTGTGCTCTTAGAAATTTGGAGTATCTTTCAATTAACCATGATATTGCAAATGACATTGGGATTTTTCAGAAATAATATATTAGGATAATTTATCAAACAAAAGGTTCGAGATATATTCTTTTGGTCAATTATCAAACTCTTTTTCACAAACAAATTTTCTGTCTTTGTCGACTTCAGTTTGCAATGTGCAGATTAAGATTTTTGTAGGAATTTTTTGGTTGCTATCCTACCAAATCTGCATTGGTTGCTGGTAATGATTTTTATTTTTATTTGTTTAATCATTTTTCTTGGATTACATACGACAATTAAAGCACACAAGCTGACATGAGCGCACACACATTGTCTATAAGTACAAATAACACACTATCTCAAGTGGAGCTTAACTTTTGGTTGGAGGGTTGATGCAGACTTACATGGCACATGCACACATTAATCCGAATCGATATGAGATGGATTGATTTTTTTTTTTTTCTATGTAGTTTTACCACATTGGAGAAAATACGCCCTGGCCTATAAGTCCAACCCACATACCAGCTCCAAGAGNATGGAGGAAAATTAGGGAATGTAGCTAACTAATCTAACATCTACGAAGTCCTTTATTAGGGGTTGTGCCGGGTTAAAGCCATGAAGCCAAAAGAGCACTGTATAGAATGTGGATATTAATACTAGGAATCAAAAGGCTAGCCAGATAGCAAAAAAACATACATACAATTGCTTGGAACGAGGATGCATTCATGAAAGAGATTAATCCTTGTGTATGCATTCAGATGGGGGATCAGTTTTAAGTAGGAGTGGTGGTGTTCGGTAGTTTTTAGTGCTTTAAGTAGGGGAATTGGACTTGTTTAATGAAGTTAGTATGCTAATCATGGATAACATCTATTAATAAAAGAAGAATAGGAAGATGAGGAAACCTAATAAGCCACTAGTTGTAGTTTCATCTTATTGGTTGATTGCCAGTGCCAAGCTTTTATAAGACTTACGTTGACTGGTATGTGAATTACTGTCTATTCAATGTCCCACCTAAATAACCTTACTAGTTTAACAGCACTGTGCTCTTAGAAATTTGGAGTATCTTTCAATTAACCATGATATTGCAAATGACATTGGGATTTTTCAGAAATAATATATTAGGATAATTTATCAAACAAAAGGTTCGAGATATATTCTTTTGGTCAATTATCAAACTCTTTTTCACAAACAAATTTTCTGTCTTTGTCGACTTCAGTTTGCAATGTGCAGATTAAGATTTTTGTAGGAATTTTTTGGTTGCTATCCTACCAAATCTGCATTGGTTGCTGGTAATGATTTTTATTTTTATTTGTTTAATCATTTTTCTTGGATTACATACGACAATTAAAGCACACAAGCTGACATGAGCGCACACACATTGTCTATAAGTACAAATAACACACTATCTCAAGTGGAGCTTAACTTTTGGTTGGAGGGTTGATGCAGACTTACATGGCACATGCACACATTAATCCGAATCGATATGAGATGGATTGATTTTTTTTTTTTTCTATGTAGTTTTACCACATTGGAGAAAATACGCCCTGGCCTATAAGTCCAACCCACATACCAGCTCCAAGAGGGCCTACTTTGGGAGGAGTGATGGAGGTTTATAAGGTACAAGGTGGGACAAATGTGAGGCTGGGATTGGGGTTGTGATGTTTAAAAGAAGAGCAATGCTATATGGACTTAAAAAGTAGACTCAAAAACTAGATTTGATAATTAGAATAATTGATTTCACTGTGGGTCCCAACATTTATTGGGACCCACTATCTATTCAATAGCATTACTCTTAAAAGAATAGATAATCGAACTAGTTTCTGTTTTCTTCTATTCGTGATGCCTTTTGGCTTGACCAATTCCCTAGCAACGTTTTGCACCTTGATGAATAGTTGTTCCACCCCTACTTGGACCAGTTTGTGGTGGTAGATCTTGATGACATTGTGGTTTGTAGTGGGACGCTTGAAGAGCACGTGGAGCACTATAGGGCTATTTTCCAGATATTATGCAACATGAGTGGAGGTGAAAATTAATTTAACAGTTCTGAGGAACTCGTAATTTTTTATTTTTTGCCCAAGTGATTTCTTTTCTTTTTAGTTTTTGACAATTTGCTCTCTAAAATGCAGATAGATAGTTAGACTAGTTGAATAGACCTGCTTTGCACGTGGATCATTACAAATATTTTGTTTGGCACCAAAATTAGAAAAAGTGATCCCGATATTACAAATAGTTGAAGTAAGCTTAGTAAGATTGTAATTTTAATTTCTTTTTTTGGGAGTTAGGGGATCAAAGGTTGAAAATATTTCAATCTTTATTTTTTTGACACAAAACAAATAATATTTTTCAAAGGTACATAAATCAATATATTTTCAGATTTTTTATTGTTTAATATAAAGCTCAAGGAGCAAGCCTCTAATGCAAAAATCTAATTAATTATTGTTCCAATACCTTAATTTGACCGACATTAAGTAAAAATAGTAGGATTAAACTCAATAAAATAGTGTCTATATATTGATCGTTATTTTGTAAAATCTAATCATATTTGACATTATAAATATATACCCAAAGAAGAGATAGACTATCTAACACGTGATTATGTCAGATACATGAAAGATCACAAAATCTTACTTCTCTAGCTACTTCTTGTTCAATACTTTTACAAATTTGTTGAAATATTTTTTCCAAGTTATAGTGTAAAAAAAATAATGAAGAGTTGAAGTTAAAAATAATTGTCTAGGGGTAAAGATGATTATCTAGCAATCGCGTTCTATGATATAGAGAGGACTCATTCACATCAAACAAATAAATCAAGCAATAATATTTTTATAACAATCCTTGAAACCCAGTAAGAAAGAGAAAAAAACTTTTAGTTACCATAAATTCTTAGTTTTTCCATGTCCATAAAACCCATACACCAACTTAAGAGAAAATTTTCAAGCTTTCTTGTAGTTACAAAAAAATTTTGGCTTACAAATATTAAAATCTTAAATAAATTTCTGTGATTAGAATTAAAAGATCAAAAGTCGCCGAGTCTATTATATGGAGAAACAAAAAGTTAGTAGTGTACTGTTTTGTTATTACATAATGATATGAACATCATTAGAGTTAAAATCAATAATTATAGATGAAATGTACACATGAAATATTAAATATATGTACATAACTAATTTAAGGAGATGAACTAATAGTAGAGGAGTATGTAATGAATTGGAGAAGATGAAAGAAAATTGTTCAAGGGAATTATATGTTTTATGAAGGATATTATAATCAATCGAAAATAATTCTTGGTTTTTCATGCAAATTATTTTGACAATTTTGATTTTATATTTATCATATCGGTATATAGGTTAATTTATTTAGAACTTGAATATTATTAAAAATTGCTTCAAAATGTGTTTTTGTAATTTATGGATCATATTTTATAGTTATATTGTAAATATGGTAAAATACTTTGGCCACATACCCACACATACCTACTATAACAATCTCCTCTTTCAAAGTATAAAGATAATAAATTATGAAACTAATTTGGTCTAGTTTAATTGGTAATCCTCCGATCTCTTAAGACTAAATCAGCTAAGAGATCAAGTAGGCAATTCTTCCCAAATGTAAGACCTAGTTTTTTATGTCGCCCTTTTCTAGGATTCTATTATGTCCTCTTTTGAATTTTTCTTTAATTCTCTGTAAATTTTTTTGTTCTTTTATATATATGTATTGTGCTAAATCTACAATATTGATTTACCAATGCATACTCCTATTAGATGAATACACAATTTTATTTATCAATAATAGTTTTTAATGTGAAATTATCACTTGACACATTAGTACATATGTGTGTTGCATGTGGACAAGTTTAATTTATAGTGGTGATGTTATTTTTTATCATTATGCTGAAATAATTGAATATATACCTACAAATCAAAGTGTATACTCTTTGATACTTGTTGTCTAGATATATTATATGTTGCTATGTGTTCCAGCCACAGTAATCTTCTAAGATATTAGATTAGATGCTAAATTAATTACTTCAAGATTGATTGATCACCCCATGAATACTGGAAGGCTGATTGAGACTATACGTTTTTGTGTGATAAATCTACTATACTTGTTAAGAGTCCATAGTCATTGGTTGCCTGAATCACAGTGATACAAATTTTGCGAGAGAGAATTTTGATAAATCCCCACAAAAGATATTTGTATCTTTATAATAGAACATAAGATACCAGGATAATTAAGTAAATCATTATAACGTGCCTTTAAATATAGATCAAGAGCAAGCTACAATTTTAAGTTCCATACAAACCAATACATAGAAGACGTACATATTTTAGCTATAAAGACTTATTTCTTTTGCAATATTTATCTTGAGGGATTAGAATTTTGGGAATTTCCCAAGACTAACTTATATATTGTTGAAGAAATTTAATTTTAAATTCATTATTAGATTTATCTAAATATATAGTATATTAATAACGGATGGAAAGTTCACAAGTCAAATTTTTAAAGGATTTAGCTCCATATAAATTTCATAAGTCATTGTTATAACTTGATATTTACTCTCAAGAACTCTTAAGACTTGTTTGTACTATTTCTAGAATCTATAAGGTTTACAAGTTAGATAAGTTACAATACATATTAGACCAACGAAAAAATTTAGTTGTATATTGATAATCATTGAATTTGTAAGTTTCTTTAAGGGTACACACAAGGTCAAATTTTTATGATGTAAGTCATAAGTGTTCATATATTTATTTAAGGACAAAATAGAAACTCAAAAATTTTAAATGAAATTATTAGTATGAGGTATAATTGTCATTATAATTTTATTTAAAGGTAGAAGAGAAATTCAAAAGTTTTTCATATAAGGTACTTTTATTAATAGTATAAAGTATAGATTAATCTTTACTCATACCATCCGAAACTTCATAAGACATTTTGACACATTTGCTTTGGTATCATTCACATGAGTCTGGTTGGAATGTTCGTGTATGACATATATGTCAGCAGTACATGTACTCACTAGAACCCTGCATCAAGTTTGATATGTCTTATATTTTTGTTTGCACTTGCTGACTTAGGCACTGGGTAAATTTAGATGCACGACATATTTGGGTTCTGAATGGTATATACCTTGTTTTTTTTTCGCTAATTTCTACAGCCATATCTTCATGAATCCCGGCATCAGCATGCCATGAGAAGGGAAAGGGGCTCTGGAGGCCGTTTTGCAAAGAAGTCTGATGTTGATACTTCAAAAACTGCACCCGCAGATAAGGTAACAGGTTCTGGGGCAGCTGGCTCATCCAGTTCATCAGGTTCTGAACCCTTGCCGACTTGTGAAGAGCACACAAATGTCAATGATGCTGGCAGGTCTGGGAACCAAAATAGCTCGCGGGTGTCTACATATCAGGTGGACTCTGCTGAGAGGGGGGATGGAGGTTCTTCAGGTCAGCAGTGGGGATGTATTGCAACTAATCAGGCTTCTCAAAGGGCTGTTGCCATGCAGTGAGCTGTGATGGAGTTTACTTCTCTCATCCTGTGGCAGTTCATTCTTGGCTTTTTTGAAGCTCTACGGCAATTCATTCTTGGCTTTGTTTCATTTGCTCGTGGTTGTGGGGAATGGACAGATGATAATTGGATCGGAGAGATGATAATTGGATGTAGCTTCTTATAACTTTGGCTAATTTTTATCAAGTGGTTTTGTACAGAGAAATGCACTTTATGTGGGATTCGAAAGAACAGTTGGGGGAGTTTGGAAGTTGAACTTGATTCTAGGAAACATGTAAAGTTATCAGTAGGCTCAATGCTTTCTTAACCTCTTACTATGCTTCACGTTGGCCAGATAATTGACATTGTGGTTTGATGCTGAAGAGGCAAGGTTTTTATTATTGGTTTATGAATAGCTCAGAACAATTAGAAGGGTTGGTAATTATCCACTCTGTTTGAGTTGATGTTTTTCACAATAATGTCTCTCACACTCTTTTTAGGGGTGTTTTAAGAGAAGACCCAGAGACAAAGCAAATGGGTCATATGTATAGTGTGAAAAATAATTTGTTAGGTAATTGGTACTTGAACTAGGAGCGAAAATTTTAATTTGGGCATGAGTTTTTATTCTCTCAACTTAAATTTGGGTATGATTTAGACGATGGGTAGAATAAAACTAATCCTGACTGATACTATGATCGAAAATAACAAGAATATCCTTTAACTTAGATCAAGATCAGATTTTGACATAAAAAAAAAAAAAAGATCAAGATGAGATTGACAAGAGTGTTTTTTCTTCTTCTTTTTTTTTTCAACATACCATTCTACATTAAGATGTAGAGTAATGTTATTGAAATCTAAAAATTTGACTTAATTTATTGACATAATGAAGTGGATTCATTGTAACTATTGTATCAACACCAAGTTTCAATGTTTGATGGGATCAATAGTCAATCCAATGATTATAGTGAATTAGTTAGCAAAATATGTCAATAAATTAAGGCTTTATAACATTGCTCTAAGATATAATTCAAACATGAAATTGATATTTGGATGATAACAATACTATTGAGACCTAAAAATTTAATTTAATCTGTTGATTATTACAATTACATAATGTTATTGGACTATGTTATTGTCATATCATTAATAGATTAGGTTAGTTTTTAAGTTCTAATAACATTACTCGACAAGAATATAGAGTAACACCTTATTATAAGTGTAGGTGGAGAGTTTAAAGAGGTTGACACACGTGTCTATGCCAAGTATAATTGAAAGGGGTGAGTAGGATGAATGGATGAGATGGAAGAAACTCAAACAACTTGTTAACGAAGGGATGAACCAGTTGGACAAAGGGTAGATGAAAAATGCTCTCACCAGCCAGAAAAATCATCATCTGCAGTGGGTAAGTAATATGAGTATTTATAGCCTAGTACTCGGGCTGTTCGCCGCAAATCCCTACCACTCGTACTAACCCACAATTGCCTCAAAAATACTAATGGTTGTTAACGGCGAGCCATGAGTCCCAACATTAATTAGGCAAATGTGATGTTTCCCCAAATGAAACGTGGATATGGCCCCGAGGAAGGTGTGACAGCCAAGGTGAGAGAGGGCTCCCAAGGTCCATGATCATGACTGGTTACCGTGGGACCATGGCCTTGAGAGGACCATGACCGCGATGGCCCCAACGCGTTCTAACCCGGTGTCCTTCTTTCCCTCTCTTGACCTTTCCTCGAGACTTTTGTTGAGGTGCCTGATAGAGGAAATCCATATAGTTTCAGTCCTTCAGCCACTAATCCACATGTCCTATCATCCTATATGCTGATCTGGACCAATAACTCTAGTTTTCTTAGGAGTCTCTTCGAATCCCAGTCAAGCACATCCTAGCTAGCAGTGAGCCATACACTGGGAGGCTTGCTTGAGTAGACTAAACCTTCGAGACCTTGCCCCAGGCTGAGGTTGACAATCATGCTCGTCCACCCCCATTGCTCAGTTCTCCCTTGAGGAGGGCCATACTTCCATGTCACTAGGTGGGGACATCTCCTCTTAGTCTAGTGGGTCAGTCGAGCAATGATGTCCAATAGGTTGAGGATACCACTCTCACAGAGGGGGAGACGAGTTTCGCCGAGATTGCCCCATACTTTTGCGATTCCACTTCGGTCCACCCTTAGTGAAGGGTCCACTTTTTCACTTTCAATGTGATGGGGATGTACGTCACCCTGTTGCGATGTTGTGCCTGAGAGCGTCATGCCCAGGGGACGTCATGCCAAGAAGGCATCGCGCCCAAGTTGCCCCATACTTATGCGATTCCACTTCTGTCCAACCTTGGTGAAAGGTTCATTTTGCCACTTCCAATGTGATAGGGATATATTTCTCCTTGTTGCGACGTTGTGCTTGAAAGCGTTGCTCCAAGGGGCATCACGCCCAGGTTGCCCCATACTTATGCAATTCCACTTCTGTCCAATCTTGGTGAAAGGTTCATTTTGCCACTTCCAATGCAACGGAGATGTATCTTGCCTTGATGTGGTATTGTGCTTGAGGGCGTTACGCCCAGGGGCGTCGTGCCCAGGGATGTCGCACCTAGAGGCGTTGCCCCAAGGGGTATCGCGCCCGTCACTATTATCTATATCAGTCTAGCTGAACTCTGTCAAGCGTCATTTCCATATCAATTGATAATTGTATCCACTTGTCTTGTTATGGTAAAAACATGTGTCTTTTAAGTTTTTCGAGTACTACAGTAACCTTAGAAACAAATCCAGTATAAATAGAATAAGATAAAATAGTAGATTCGTCACTATCGACAACATAGTTTGAATTAGACACCATCTTTTTGTTAGAAGGTATTTGTCTCTTATTTTTATCTTTTTTTTGTTATGAAGGATACTTTTGTCTTTTTGATATTTGAGCTATAACCAATGTGTTTTTGATCTAATGGTACTCCTTACATTGTGAAAGCTTTGCCTTCTTGAGGTCAAGGGTTCAAATCCTCTTCCCCCCTCCCACTCCCAAAAAAAAAAGTTGATATTTGAACTATAATTATAAGTGACAGAGGAGAGAACTCTAGCACTCTCTTCTCTTTTTCAACCATCTTTCTTACTTCTCTATTTCTCCCTTTTTCTTTACATTAATTCAACATGGTATTAGAGTGGGTTCTATGACTCTCATTAATTTTTTTTTATTTTCATTTTAGATTACTAGGGAAAAAAATGAAAATTTTCTTTCGGTTTGGAAAAAAAAGATCAATACCTTGGTCGAATTGATGAACAGAGTTCATTTATGATTTTTTTTTTTGATTTTTTGTGAAATTATTTGGTACTTTGTTCTATTTTTTCTTTGATTTTCAAAAAAATAGGGTTGTGTTTCAAATTTGCGATTTCCAGCATTCTTCTGAGGGATTTGTTACTTAAAATAGACACCATAGGTGCCAATTTGCAATGCCCAAGGGTTACCTAGTGATTTGCGGTTGTTATTTTTTTTAGGGTGTTTTTTTTGCCATGGGCAGTCCGTTTTGTGCTTTGCAGTTATTTTGTTCATTCTTTGTGATTTTCAGGTTTCTTTAAATTCAAGTTTGAGATAGTAGTTGTGTTTCTTATTTTTATTTTTTATTTTTTAGGCCATTTGGTGTGTATTTGGTCTTTAAAAAGAGTAAAAACTAGATTAAACATGTTAGAATTTAGCACGGTCTCTTAGAAACAGTCCAAAAGTGTAGCAAGTCAGATTGGACTTTAGACTGAAAATCTTAACCTACAGATTACAACAATAAAGTTTGATGGGCACAATTGCCATGTTAGGTCGTAGTCGACTATATTGTTAGGAGTAAGGGAAAGATGAGTTACTTGATTGAAAAAAATTAAAGAACCAAATATTAATGGTCCACATTATGATAAGTGGGAGGATGAGAATTCCATGGTTATGTATTGGATACTACACTCTATGCAACTCGAGATTAGAAATTGCTATTTGTTTCTACGTACTGGCAATGAGATTTGGGAGGTAGTATAATAGACTTACTCAAAGATGGGCAACATGACATATGTTTATGAGTTGAAATGTCAAATTCACAATACTAAGCAGAAAGATTCCTCTTTGGCAACTTATTTTCATACCTTGCGGGGGGATATGACTGGAATTGAATCACTATCAAAGACTTGACATGAAGTGTGCTAAAGATGCCTCAAAACTAAGAAGTTGATTGAACATGAGAGGATTATTGAGTTTCTAGTTGGCTTGAATCTTGAGTTTGATTAAATTAGGATTCAAAACGTAGGGACCTACAGGGGTTATATGTTTTTGTTCAGTCAGAAGAGAGCAAGTGAGGGGATAATGCTTCATACTATCCCTTGGGAGAGTTCAGCCGTAACTACTGCCGCTCTCAAGATAGCCAGTTGGGAAGCAAGGAAGTTGAGAGAGGATGTGTAAATGATGTTGCATTTGATGATAAAATAAGTTGAAATGTGATTACTGCCATAGGCCAAGACATAATAGGGAGGCTTCCTAAAAACTACATGACGGTCCTCAGTTTGGAGGTAGAGGAGGACAATCAGGTGGAATAGGAGGATCTCAAGCCCATCTTATGGCTGCAATGGAGATTTCTTCAATTGGTTATGATCTTGCTCCATTATTTGCAATGGAAACAATGGGAGGAAGTGGAGAATATACATCCCCTTATGTTAAAGATAGAGACACCTATCACTACATCTACTTCTTTGGCTCATGTAGGTAACCTCTTTACAACAATGAGTACACCTAATAATATTCCTTCTTGCCCATGGTTCATTGATTCAAGTGTCTTTGACCATATGATTAGACTATCTACTTTGTGCTCTTATTTAGGAAAACAACAAGTTAAAAATAGTTGATGGTTCCTTATCATCTATAGCTGGTAAAGGTTTTATTCTAGTCATTTGATATCTATTTTTTTGATCTAATTTACATGTTCCTAAATCTTTCATCTCTCTCATCTATTTTACATGTTCCTAATCTTTCAAACAATCTTCTTTTTGTCAGTGATATTACCAGGAGATTAACTTGTAGTGTAACATTTTTTTCCTTCACATTGTGTCTTTCAAGACCTTGTCATGAGGAAGACGATTGATAGTGGTGAGGAGAGAAATGGTCTTTACTTTCTGAATTCTCAGGAGCCAGGTGATGCTATCCTTACAGAAACTCATAAGTTAGAAGATGTGATATTTCTGAGGAGTAGATTTGACTACTACATCAGAGATTAGGACATCCTCCATTTGTTTTGTTGCAAAAATTATTTTCTTATTCTTTTTTTATGGTGAATGTCTTTCAATTTCGTTGTGAAATATGTGAACTTGTAAAACACTATCATGTGCCATTTCCTATTAGTTTCAATAAAAATACTTCACCTTTTACCACTCTTCATACGGATGTCTGGGAACTTTCCCAGGTTGCTAGCTTGTCTGATTTTTTGTGGTTTGTGATATTTATTAATGATTTTTCTTGTACCACTTGAATTTATTTTCTCAAGGGAAAAAAATAAAGTATTCTCTTGTTTTCAAAAATTCCAAAAGATGGTACTTACTCAATTTAGTACTCAAGTATAAATTGTTCGTTCTGATAATGGGGGTGAGTATGTTTATGGGGGACTTCAATCCTATTTTGCTAAGCATGATATTATTCACCAAACAACTTAATTGATATACCCCAACAAAATGGGGTTGCCGAGATAAAGAATCATCATCTATTAGAAGTTTCAAGGGTCTCGATGTTTTTTATGAATGTTCCAGAGTCATATTGGGGAGATGCGATCCTTACATTGACATACCTTATCAATAGAATGTCTTCACGAGTTCTAAAATTTTGGCCACCAGTTGAGGTATTAACTTCCTTTTTTCCTTTTTTTTTTTTTCTTCTAACGGTTTTTTAGTTCCTCCTCGGCTCTGAAATAAGTTAGATACTAAAGCAACCAAATACATATTTATTGGTTATTCTGCTACATAAAAGGGCTACAAATGTTTTCATCTTCCTTTAGGTAAAAGATTTTTTTCTATGGATGTCACCTTTTTTGAAATATAGTAGCCTATTTTTCCCCAGAGACTTCTTTTTAGGGGGAGAATCCACGTAAAGATAAGTCTGAGTTTGTTCTCCCATCTACCTCATCAGTGCCTTTCCTTTTATTGGAACAAGAGCAGGACAATAATGAGGAATAATAGTAGCAAGAACAAAAGAAATTATAGGTTTATTTAAGAAGACAAAAGGAAAAGACCATCTCTAATCCACTACCTTTCCAAACAACTTCCTTGGGATCAAGTAATCCTGTTCTTGAGTTTATGTATGATATTCCCATTGCTATTTGTAAAGGTGTTCAAACTTGTACTCAATATTCCATATCTAATTTTGTACCTTTGCATCACCTCTCATTGTCTTATCGAGGTTTTGCATCATAATTGTCCTTTGTGTTTGTTCTTGTTGGAGTATAGTCTAGTTTATTAGGTTTTATTTTTTCCTTTTTTACCCTTATTATGACTTTTATATTTTTCATAGATCACATGGATGTTTAGGTCACTTTATAATTAGCTATATATATGGGGCTCTACTCTTAGTTGAGTATCCCTTTTTACTCACCAATACATGAAGTTGGTATCAGAGCCAAAATCCTAGCATCTCCACCACGTCCACCAACCCTAACCCTAATCCTAGCCCTTTCACCACGTTCTAGCCATCAACCATTGTGACTGCCCAACCTAGCAGTGACCCATAGCTTGCAAAACAGCCTTCCACCGACAGCAATCCATACCCATCCTTCACTACCCAGTGAATCCTATCCTTCACTGCCTATCCATCGACAACCAACTTAGCAGCCAAACCCTACCGATAGCATACTGATTAGTAGTTAAAATTAGCATCTCACTATGCATTTTTAAGATTAATTATACTTTGATAGAGTTTCAATGTGACATTTCAGGAAAGTCAATGCATATCAAACTTTCATGCAACAACCGCATGTTCTAGAGGAAAATTGGAGAAGATTGAAACAAGGCATGAACGTTTGAACGTCAATCCATGTTCGAACATTCTCTGGAATCATTGGAGGACCAAATTGCTAAGATGACGATGCATGGCGTGTTGCAGCTAAGAAGAAAAACAAAGAGGTACTTGAGTATCACGTTCGAACGCCAACTAATGTTCGAACGTTGGCTTGAATCAATTAAGGATCACCTGAAAGAGTGTGCTATTGCATATGGCGTGTGGAAGTTGCTCTCACAGAAGAATAGAGGTCACTTGAGTAGGAAGTTCAAACCTTATCCAGTGTTCAAACGCCTATCAAAGAAGACAGGAGACAACGTTCGAACGCCAATTAACGTTCGAACGTTGTCCCAGACAGGCTGCAGAGTGGTTGATTTTATACCTGGACCTTGAGGCTTTCACTTTGACTTTGAAGACTTTGTACAATTCTCTCACACTCCCTTGCCCTTTCATTACCTATAAATTCTCCCATTATGGGAGCTTTAGGAGTTACACTTACACTTATAGTAGAACTTAGATTTAGACTTAGACTTAATTTACTTGCATAAAAGGAGATAGATCAGCTTTTGGTTGAGGTGGAAACCCTCCAAAAGTGACTAGCTTTCTTCTACTTTCATTATTAGTTTCATTTGCTTCCATTGTTTGAGCTTCCTTTTTTCTTTAGAGGAGTGAAACTCTTTCACTTTTTTAAAACTTTACCAAAACCGTGAAGTGTGGAACGTGATTCACTCATTCTTTGTCGAAGATCGGCTCCTTGTTTGTACATTTTGTTTATGCTTAATGCTTTATATTTCACTTGCTTATTGAATGATTGAATGCATTCAGCAAAGCCA